AATTTCGGTGTCTTTAAGTTTAGAAGTTATATTTTCGTCGGAGCCCATCATTTGGTTCGCGTCGTACTGCGTCCAAGTCGAGGGTCCGTCAACCATTGAATATTTGATCTTTTTCTGAGTTACCAAGCGTTCTAAAATAGGCTTGGCTCCATTAACGACCTCTGACCACTGTACGGGATATTCTTTTAGTTTTCCCTCAGAATAAAGTCGCAGGTTCTTGAGCTGTAAGTCCAGTATTAAATCTATCCTTGCCATCCATTCTGTCGTCAATTTTGTCCCCGCTTTCATGGGACCCAAGTCTCCTACGTGAAGATTGTCAACATTCCCTCGAGAGCTCGCGCCAACGACGTCGGCATCCGGGAGTTTTGCCGCAAGTTCTTTATAACTTTTCATTCCTATGGTGTCAATATCAAGGTAGATACCTCCAAACGTGTGGAGTATTTTAGCACGGAAGTAATCTGAGCGGTGGTGAATGCGTAGAAACTGGTAAGCTTTGTGCACAGTTTTTACGCTTTTGATAAACTCTGTGTCGTTAAGGACTTTTACGTTAAAATCTCTAAAATTGTGACAGGAAAGCGTCTCCAGACAGAGATCCACATAGGCAGGGCGGTGATGTCCCTCCCAGTATATCCAAATAAAAGGTTTGTTGTTGTATTCGTACAGCCCGCGTTCACTTAAAACCAAATCCTCCTTTTGAACGCCTGTAGTGGAATAATATTGAGAATTTCTGTTTATTCCTTCATTAAAACTGCTTTCGTTATTTTTCAGGTCTGTCCTTCTCGCGAGTTGATATCTGGTGGACAGGAAAATGAGAGAGACGGTAGCGACACCTATTGCTGCCAAAGAAAGTTTGAACAGTAGCTTCATGGTTTGGGCAAATGACTGAAAAGGGAAAGGCAGGCATAACATTTTAGACATACAGAACATCCTCGTATAAAGTACATAGACCTATATAGTGCGACAAATTGAAAAAGCAAGTACATCAACGAATTAAAAATAAAATAAAAGAACTAGCAAACGAGCTACAGGGGTATGGTTTTGGTGCCTTGTATCCCGTTATATTCCCTTCATCTCCTTTCCTCTGCCCCCCTTTGCTTTTCTTTTTTATCTCTGTCTTTTGTTTTTATCTGCTTTCCACTTCACAAGCACAGCATTTTAACAGAACAGCGTGTAGTAATTGATAAAAATAGGTTGTAGCTCCCAGGTAATGTACATATATCATGTACCCTTTACCTGGACCATAGATTCATTATGTGCATATTACTGCAGCAGAAAATCGTGTCATGAATTAACCAGGAACCTATCTGTGAATATCTTATGAAATATCAATCTGTGACACTGGTAGAGGGTATATATCATGTGAGTCGTAACATATGCTGTGATCTCCCCAATCCCCACCGTAAGATGCACGAGTAGGCCTACTGGAGGAATTGCAGCGTATAAACTTTATAATGACGTTGGGCCATAGAGAACAAATACATGACATGCTACATGAACAACGTATATACAGGGCTCAATCATAGGCTATTAAATAAGAATGAATTACACACATTATGACTGTAGCTTGCATAGGGGCCTTTATACCTAGTGGCGGATCTGGGGGGGGGGGGGGGTACAAAAGGAACATACCTTCCCCCGGCTCCGATGTACACCCCCACACATTTTTTTCCAAGCGGGAAAGGGTAAGAAACCTTTATCCTTGTTTGTGCCCCCCCCCCCCCCCCCCCTACACACATACACAACTTTGCAAAATTCTATGTTATCATACTTACGCTCAAAAAGTGCAAAATCCTCTTAAGATACACTATCTGTCTTCTATCATCCTGCCATCTCAGGTGTCGTCGTTTCTGGGTATTCTGTAAGAAGCCTTTATCGATGTAGGGTCCACACCAGTTGTAAGTTCTATGTGCCTCTATTTATATATCAAGGTCTCTTTAGATAGAAAAAATCCCTAAACATACGCACAACATCAACACTTGAGGGTACCACGTTATCTACGTGTCACTGTTTAGATCTAGTATTCATCTCGAGTCCCATACAACGCCAAGACAATTGGCCTCTATCTCCTCGGGAAATACAGCTTATCGTTCATGTCACGCATTATTTTGGTCTATCTTGTGTGGCTAGGTGCATGATGATGAAGCGTACTGTGCCCAAAAATGTGTACGTCTATTAATTAAGGTGTTGTTAACACAGTGCAGCAGGCTAAAGCAACGGGTATTGCTCCTCAGGTTTTTAGAAACCATCAGAGTACGTGTGAATGCGACAAAATTACAAGCATTAAAACAAAATTAACATGGGATGAGATGAAGGTGAGAGGTGTGCAGACTCGTAAACGGGTATCATCAACTGTCAAACTCTTAGATAGACAGGTGGGGGTGGGAGTGTAAGGGACCGAACACATGGAAAGTCTATTTTCTAAAAATCTATTTTCTATTCGCGGCAGCTTGTAATCACGGTCTGTGTCCTGAATATCCCGCGGCGTAATTACTGGCAGCGCGAGCCAGTTACTTCCATGATCACAAGATACCGCGAATAGAAAATAGATTTTTAGAAAACAGACTTTCCATGTGAACGGTCCCTAAGTATAGGTAGCCCCAGGCACTGCCCCCCCCCCCCCCCATCCCCCAATTTTGGTTTTTGTAAACATTACATTTTGTACAATACTTCCCCATCCCTTGAGTAAAATTCCGGGCGAAGAATTTGAGGACTTGGAGTTGAAACAGAAATGCATGTTATCCAAGTTCTTGACCTGTTAGGTCGTATAATATGGCACTATAAATTGTGTGCAGCACCTCAACATTACCGTCACGATTTGTAACTTGATAACAAAAGCGTGGCAAAATAGCATATATCATGTCAAGTTCAGAAGAATAGAGAAAGCATGATTGCTAGAAGTGATGTGCTATTTTCATAGTAAAAGGCTTTGTGCTAGTTATTTGAATTGTAACTCTTAAGAGATTTTCTAAAGGAGACAGAGACTCCTTTGCTGTCAACATTCTTCGAATGCTGGTTTAATAAAAACACTGAAAAAAAAAACTGTCCAGAAGTTCTTAAGATTGAATAAATATGTTTTTATTTTCTTTTGTATGTTTCCAATGAAATTTGCCTATGCTAACTAAATAGTCTCCAAGTCCATTCCCCACCCTGAAAATCATCAGCCATCAATTCTTAAACCTCCTAGCAGAAAATATCTGCACTTCTAATCTAAGCTGTAATGTCTCTTTTCTTAACAACAGAAAGTGTCATCTTTTCATAAATTAAATTTACATCCATTAATGGCTGTGATAGTTCATACATGTTGTTTAACCATGCTTATTTTATCTTAACAAAGTCTATATCGGTCCCACAAAAAAGCGTATTTTTTTTCCAGGATTCATAAAATATTTTTCTGTGATCCACTTCCACAACTGTCCTTTTGTCCTGCGCCGATGTCCATAAATTTTCACTTCTATCCAGTTGTCCATTTTCATACATGTCCAGGTGGTGTAGTACACATTAAGACAATTAAGCAGAGAACACTTAGCCTGGCAGCTCACAGGTTTTTGAAATGGTAGGTGAAATAGTTTATTGAAGTCTTCACTTCCATTTTGTTATGTGTGGTACACATAATGTCATAAAATTAAATATGATCCAATTTTTCTTCACCAGTCAGATCAGCATCGGTCAGAGTTCATAGTGTGTTGACTGATTCAACAAATGCTTTGAACTCCTAACCACAGTGTCATTATTGTTTATTTTTTTTCCCAATCACTGTATCAGCATTATCTAAACTGAAGCTGACTTATTCTGAGCCCTATGCAGTCTTTTCCAATCTCTGTCACCTGAAAAATAGGAAAGTGAAGCATGTGAACAGATCATCAAGAGACAATGAGCAAATGAATACACATCATTAAGGCAGATACTGGAGAAGTGAGAGGGAATTATTAAATATCAAACAAATGTATAAGTGAAAGTTAACACAAACTCGGAAGAGTAGAATAGAATCATAAATAAAAGAGAGTCAAAAGACTTAGAATCAACAGTAGTATAAAAGTATGGCAAATTATACATAAGAGATAGTTAAAAGACTTAGCACTGTCATGTCAAAGGTAAAAAAATAAGAGAAGTGTCAGATAGGTATATACTTGTTCCACGTCAACTCACCTGTGTTACCCTGCACACCTGTCCTTTGTACTCTGGCAGGTAACAGGCACCACTGAGGGGACACTTAGCCACTGGCTTACCTCTGGAGATAGAAAAATTATTTCTTCATTTACTTACTGTATTTTTTTTTATGAACAAGCCCATTAAGATTATTTGGCACACAATCAAGCAAACGTTTTGTCATTTTCCAGAAAATTTATCTGGGATGAGTTTGACAGACTTATTAAGTATAGAAAATAGACAAAGAAACTTTGTTTTGAAGAGCTGTAAACGGAACAAAAAAAATTGTTTCTGTCAGCTATTTGCCATCCACATTAAAATACTCTGTAAAATGGGGATGCTGGCACTAACTAAACTTGCTCTCGATTCAAAACTGTGTCACACATAGTACATTTACAAATCAAGAATTAAACAAATCTACCTGTAGATAGCAGTGTATGTTGCTGCACAAATGTCAAAGGGATTGTGCTGATCATATTTAAGTTCGTGAGTGTCTGTTGGATTCTTTTCACAAGCCTGGAGAATTTTTCTTGTCTGAAAATAAATACAGAAATATATATTCATAGAAGTTGGAATTCTGTTCATTCTATGTGGCAGGGAGGAATATGAACATGATAGCAGCGCTAAGTGTTTGATAGACACGTTTTAAATAACAGAATTTCAACAGTTGGTCCTTATCTGCAAGAACTATTCACTGGTTAAAAAATCTCTACATGTACAGAATTTTTAATATGGCTTGTCAACACGGGTGTGTTTTTCTTTTGTTTCTTTCTATTTATTTTTTAAAATTTTCCTAAGAACATTATACCCTAAATCATTTCTCTGACTATAATAAAATGGACGTGTTACCTGCTGAGCTACATCTGGCTTGGGACCAAGCTCTAACAGTCTCCTGGCAAAACTGGCGGCAGTTTTATAATTTTTCAACTTGAAGAACAAATTGAGCGCTGTCCTCAGTGTCAAGATGAGATGGACTGGTTGAAGGTTGCAGTGGGTGAAATATGCAGCCATCTGAAAATAAAGAACACTTGACTTTAGATATGTTTTTAATCATTAATTATCAACTTTATTCGAGGAAAATACCCTGATCTTAAAATAAGCATCACAAAGTGGAAAAGACTGCCCATGCTATTTCAGCCCTAAAAATTTTGGTCAAAAAGTGCTAATTAATTGGTTGTCAAGATTGTACTGTAAACCTGTCAGTTATAAAACCAATTCCCCGGTTCTCTTACCTCACAAAGTCTCTTTTGTTGTTCTAAATTTTCTTTTGGCATTTCTTTTCTCTTCAGTTCCATACTAAGTCCTACTATATATTCTCTACAGATCTCTATCAATTGCTGGGCCTGGAATGGAAGATTTCAATACAAATTATTTTTTAAAAAGATCACTAAAGTACACCATCAAAAAGTGGATTTAAAGTGGATTAGAATTTAACAGACACTTTTCAAAATTGTATGAGATAAAAACATTCAATCAAGAAATGATTTATCATACTTGCACAATATCATTAAACCATATCTTAGTTAACTGGAAAAATCAAGCAAAAAACAATATGATCTAAATGGTAAGGGTCTATCTATTTATTTATTAACTTTCTCCAAAATTCGCAATTATCTTTTATTAATAAATCATCTTAACTGGAAGGGTCTGTTTAAAACAATTTTCTTCAAAAATCGAAACTATCTTTTAAAAGAAACAGCTGAGAGAGAGAAAGAGAGAGAGAGAGAGAGTGTGTGTGTGAGAGAGAGGGAGAGAGGATGGAAGAGAGTCCAGTGGTTCCCACCTCTGTGATCTCCTGTTTTGTATCCACCACCAGTAGAGGCACACTGAGCAGTATGGACCTAAATCTGTCCACGGCCTCAGCAAACTTGCCCTGGGTGGTCATCTGGTATGCTGTCTGCAGTCGCTGGACCAAGCTGGCCAGCTTCAGACCACAGGCAGGCAGTCCATTCCTGGCACCTGCTTCTTTCCTATGTTAAATATCATCACATCAATTCATTATACACAATATAATAACAAAATAAGTAAGGGAAAACTTGATTTTATTCAATATGCAATTTAATACTATTTAATTACCTTTGATTTCTTCCTGTAATCTTAGTGAGGTGAATTTAAATTCCTTTCTTACTGCTGTATATGAGCAAACTCAATATGCCTTTTTGCAAGCAATAACGTCAATTTGGGTCTGCATTTTCTGAACTGCATTCTAAACCCAATATTTCTTAACTGTCAGATTGTTCCACAAAAAGCAAAATGAATAAAAAGTAAAAAATACCCTTGGCAATATTTCAGTTAAATTAAACCTCAATTTTATATCCTGTGCCAAACATTAAATTCTCAGTCAATTCATATAGGAATAACTCAATAACTCACCAGTTTCTGTGTAGATATCCATACAGTGGTGGTAGGGAAGGCAGACCCAGGTACAATATTACTACTACTAATACAACTACTACTACAACAGTACACAGTAATAACTCACCAGTTCCTGTGTGGATATCCATACAGTGGTGGTAGGGAGGGCAGACCCAGGTACATTATTACTACTACTAATACAACTACTACTACAACAGTACACAGTAATAACTCACCAGTTCCTGTGTGGATATCCATACAGTGGTGGTAGTGAGGGCAGACCCAGGTACATTATTACTACTACTAATACAACTACTACTACAACAGTACACAGTAATAACTCACCAGTTCCTGTGTGGATATCCATACAGTGGTGGTAGGGAGGGCAGACCCAGGTACATTATTACTACTACTAATACAACTACTACTACAACAGTACACAGTAATAACTCACCAGTTCCTGTGTGGATATCCATACAGTGGTGGTAGTGAGGGCAGACCCAGGTATATTATTACTACTACTAATACAACTACTACTACAACAGTACACAGTAATAACTCACCAGTTCCTGTGTGGATATCCATACAGTGGTGGTAGTGAGGGCAGACACAGGTACATTATTACTACTACTAATACAACTACTACAACAGTACACAGTAATAACTCACCAGTTCCTATGTGGATATCCATACAGTGGTGGTAGGGAAGGCAGGCCCAGGTACATTGATCTGGACCTGGAGTAGGTCTGGAGGAAGATCTGTTTGTACTCATCAAAGGAAACAACACCTATCTGGTCATGGAGCAGCTGGAGAGGAAAAGAATCAAGAGTTTTGCTTTAAAATTTATTTCAAAGTTATAGTGGAAAAATAATGTTGATGATGAAAATATCAGCTGGACAGCCTGCAATACTAGACAGCCTGTGGACTACTAGATACTTCCTGTTGTTTAATTTTGACCACCTATCCCATTATTTTACCCCAGACCCAGTTTGGCTGAAGAGTGCAAGTATTTATGTGTACAGTCAAGGAATAACTAAACCATTCATTTGAAATATTCGACACAATGAAGAAAGACTTATAGTGCCATACAATAACACTTGTTGAGAAAATTCCTTCTTTTTTAACTGAGCATACTAGTATGCACAAAAGACAATGAGGAATACGTCAAGCTACATCGCTCATAGAACACACCCTGATCATTGCCTGAAATAACCCTGCAAAGAATGATAAAAGCTCCTTTTTTCTAATCTACTGAAGATTGCTGTGCCACATGACTGTGCTTGTTGGGTAAACTCACCCTCATAGCCGTCTCAAAGGAGCCTGCCAGCAGGTGATCCACTGGCAGTTGGGAGTTGTTACACCACACCTGGGCCTGGCTGGTACCCTTGGTGGGAGGTACAAAATATCCTTCCTCTCCAGCTTCTGTGACAGGACCCACCTCCTGGAAGACAGTGATTGACAGGTGTCAAGGTGGATATTGCAAATCATACAGTTGTAATTTAAACTGAATCAGGTACGGAATTTGAATAGGCCTATCTTACGCCAGAGCACATAGCATCTTCGTGTGTGTGTGTACAATATGGAATTCAATTTTCATTTTTTAACTTGAATTAACCAGACTACGATTATCATAACTGCAAAGTCATTCTTTACCTCCATCAACAAAAGATCTGTTTTTTTGTCAAAATTGACTTGTAAGTGGAAATAATATCTCAAAAACTTCACTAATTTTAATGAAATATTCAGGATAGACAGTTTCTTAGGAGAGATAGAAGTGAATACAACTTCCACTGAATCCCAGTCCCCCTATTTCTGAAATTAATAATTTTTCACAGCCTTGGAGGAGGTCAAATTGGCCACCTTACCAGGTCAGCGGGTAGCTCCAAGTCATCGTCTCCCACGTCCCAGCCACCGCCTTCCTCTCCACCTGGAATGATGTCATCCATACCCTCGCCAGGGGGGCCAAAACCATCTGAAAGGGGAGAGAAAGGATTATTTAACAAGGTAATATCAAGGTTAAAAATAAAAGATTAAAGAAATAAAAAGTACAGTTATATAAAATGAAAGAAATAAAAAAGAATAATGTAAAATCAAGGATATAAAAAAGTAAAATGGATAATATCATGTAATTTATCTTGTTTCATTCATGCAGCAGTATGATAGACAACTATAAAGTTTGTTTAAAAATGAATCAATATTGGAAACCATCACTACCAATATAAAAATTGCCAAAAAATATTATTTCTCATAAGGTGGTGTAATACACACAATTGCCCTCTAAAAGTCATCATTTAAATAAGTCAATCTCATACCATCATCAAGCACCAGTTCTGCGTCTTCTCCCCATCCTGCTTCCTCTGTCTCATCAGCAGCCATCATGGATACACCGCCACTGGCAGCCTTGCCTGCTGGAAATATATGGAGCTTGTGAAACAGGAGAACTTGCCCAATATTGTGAGCATCCAGTGTCTTAAAGACATAATTAGTAACTCTTGGATGTGACAGTGCATTTTAGGAGTAAATTTTTAAAATTTAAATGATCATAATAAATTAACATATACTAATTCTTATTATTATCATAATTATTATTATTATTATTATCATAAAAAGTTATTCTTTCCTATGTTTATCAAAGTTTTCATATTTTAAATGTTTTAAAGTGAACTAGTGCTTCACAATGATGCATTTGTTGAGAGGGTGCAATGACACAAACACACACATCCTCTCTCTCTCTCTCTCACACAAACCTTTAGCAGCCATGGCCCCCTCAAAGAACCCCTTGGTGACAGTGAGGAGGGGCCAGTTAGACTCCTGCTGTGTGATAGGACATGGGGGCTGGAGGAGGGCCGCATTGGGGTACACCTCAGGTAACTTGTCCTTTTCAGGGTCAAAGGTCTCTCTCAGTTCAGCTGCTTCTTCTTCTAGGCCATGAGTGGCTGCAGTCAAGTAAGCCAGGGATTCTAAAATAAAAGTTGCATTTCTCATAAAAAGAGAAGCTTTGTAATGTTTGGAGTAGCATATAAACATATATTTATTGTCCAAAGAGGGAGTTGTTTATCACATTCTTGCACTTCCACAGATGTCAGAAATTAAAACTTCACAGAATATCTGATATTAAGGCATATGGTCATTGTTCATGAAATAAATTTAGAAGTGATAACAAAATGCATAGAAAAATTGTCTTAACTGGCCCAAACTTACTTTGTCCACATCCCTTGAGAATCTTGACCCTCTCGTTGACATCCCCAAGGTAGAGGGCAGTCTGGAAGTGACCACTGGTGTCCTTTCTGATCTCAGCTACAATAAAATATCAGGAAATTTTGAAGTGGTTCAAATTAATATAACATGGCACAAGTGATTCCCTGCTATTGTGTCTGATTTCTCATTACAAATCATAAAAATGTTTCAACAAAATGAAAGGTGGAAAAAGTATCCATCAAAATATGCTGTATGACAATTTCAATTTCCTTATGTCAAAATAAAAAATAAAAAAAAATTAACCTTTCCAAAAGTGCTTGAAGTTCTGTAGCTAATTTATTAAAAAAAAAAAAAAAAAAAACACAAAGAATGTGACTTCTCAAAGTTCTACAAACACTAGGAAACCATCACTACTTAGATAAAACATATTGTTTTACCAATCTTCATCATCTTCCTCAGCTTCTCCAGGTTTCCAGTGATGAGATACAGGAAAGACAGTTTGTCGAAGTTCTTGGTTCGCTGGTACGCCATTTCTACAATCTGATGATTCCCCTGTAGCAGAGCAACCTCGCCTAATTTCTCCCAGCAATTCTTATCGTCCAGTGCCCTGGCTGCTTCTAGAGCAATCTGAATAATACAGGAAACAACATTTAGTACATCAAAAGCTAAAGGAAAGATAAAGCTTTTTAAAATGACATTTAAAATTTAATAAAATAGATAAAAAAGCTTTCTAAAATGCCATTCTTCCTGATACTAAAACACCCATTTTTTTTGAGAATTTCTTTTTAAATCCAATAAAAGCAGACCACGGCAAACATTTACAATAAACACCAAATGGAAACCAAACCCTGACCTCAATGTTTCCACACTCCAGCGCCAGCCCAAAGCGCGTCCTCTCGTCCTTCACAAAGTGGAGCGCCACCTCAGGGTAGCCCTTTTTCTGCAGGTACGCTATGATGGACTGGCCTACCAGCTTGGCGTTACGCACCATGTGCAGGACCTAACCAATATCATATATATATATATATATATATATATATAGAGAGAGAGAGAGAGAGAGAGAGAGAGAAGGAGTTGAGTAACATGAGTCATTACTGGAGCACATTTTACACTATTTAAGGTTACTAATGCACACTAATTACTTTATTACAAAAATGAAAATAGCCAACTTCAATAATGTAAATATTTTGTGCTATGATGGTATAACAGAGATCAAACTGATGAATTGAAAAATATCTGCAAGATATCTGCAAGAAAGTTCACTTCTATTCCTTTTATATTGTGCATTTAAACTTCTTCCTTACAGTTTTTACTTTTGATTTGAGATTATATTAATTTTCAACACATAGCTAATGGGTCAACGACCTCCGGAACTGACCTCATCATACTTCCTGTTGACCAGCGCCAGTTTAAACTTGAACTCAGTGGGGTCAATGCCCAGCACCCTGGGTCTGCACTCTCTGTCCAGGCAGTAGACACTGTTCCCCTTGATACGGGTGATGTAGATAGGGAGGTCCAGGGTGCGGATGATGCCATGGTCACTGGGAGAGGGTGAAAGAACAAGATGTGATTTAACTAATTTGGTAGAATATATTTAATGGGATACAATGATGATGAAGATATCCAGATATTAGTTGTTTTGCTTTTCACTGTATACTCATAATATAATGAGAGAGAGAGAGAGAGAGAGAGAGAGAGAGAGAGAGAGAGAGAGAGAGAGAGAGAGAAGGAGACTGCGTAAAAAAAAAAAAAAATAGACAACACATGTCTCTTCAGAAGAAAGCAACATCTTTTTTTTCATCATAATTAAACTCTCCCTAATTTAGGCTATCTAAACTGAAACCTTCTACTGACCCATTGACCAGTGCATATTTGATGTGGTTACTAGTTGTGTAGACAAACACCCCACTCTCGTCCCAGGCCCCACTCTTCACACGGATGTTCTCATGGATGGTACACAGGTTGTCTAGCTTCCTGTTGCAGATAGCAATGGCTGGAAATACACAACAAGATAAGAGTTTGTTCTACAAACAATCCAAGCAAAGACCCTTTAACATATATCATACTTATTTTGACAATGATCCTTACTCTCAGTTGGGGCAATATAATTTTTTAAATATATAATACCAGTTGTTCTAAACTTATTGTTTGTAGAAAATTCCTGGACTAATATGGCTAACTCAAATATATGTAGTCTACTATTCAAGTTTACCAGGCTGAGCTAAGACCCCAAATACTACCCTATTTGTGAAACAGGCTTAAGAAGTGAACAGCCTTAATATGTAAGAGCTTACCATGTTTGCTGAGTAAAGCCACATGGGACATATCACTGGACCATACTACATATTTCACCTTGGATAACTTCACTGTGGCCAGGGTTCTGATATTATAATACAATATAAAACATTGGCATCACTGTCATATCAACTATAGGTGGTCTGATGGCACATAGTTAACTTACACTAGTCTACTAACATTTGCTTGATTTGCTCTCTAAACTGGATGCAATTTTGTTAAAATAAAAAGTGAATATCATAACTCAGTAGTTCTGAAATTAAAGCCCTGATAATTGTAGCCGGGCATTGCAAATTTCTGCACTGCCAAAGAGTAAGAAAGTAAACTTAATCAGCAATGAGATGAGAAAAAGCTCCCATTGATCTCATTTCTGTCACTGTTATCCCCC